AACGCCAAAAAACAACCCGGAAGAAAAAAAACCCTTGCCTGTAACACAATAAGAACCAAAACCAAAATATAAAAACCACCCTTTCTTTTAAACAACATTTAAATATATTTTGTTATATTTTTTCATGTTTATATTCACATTTATATTTATATTTATAATGTATATGCATGTCTAATGTTTATTTTTACATTTACATTTATAAATTTCTATTTATATATAAATTTATATTCTATATTACATCTATTCTATTACTTATTTTTATATTTTATACATATCTTTATATATTTATTATATATTTCTGTATTAAGATTTTTGCTTCTGTAGTGCTTATATTATTTAAGATAAAACCCCTGCCTCTATCCAAATAAAAGCCAAAAAGAACCCCTTTCTTTGAAACTGTATTTAAATTTTTTACAAATTATAATTTTCATATTGATATTCACATTTACATTTAAAATGTATATTGATGTATCGTGTTATCTATATTCTATATTATGTCTCTTCGTATTACTTATATTTATATTCATTTATATTTTATATTTCTATATATATTTTTATATCTTGTTTATATGTTTCTGTATTTAGAATTAGAAAACAATAATATCTATATTCGGCTGAACTCGGAGCCGCTCGGTCCGTTCGGCTCTGCTCGGCTCGGTTCGGCTGAACTCGGAGCTGCTATGTGTGTTCGGCACAGCTCGGCTCCGTTCGGCTGAACTCGGAACCCCTCATGCTTTCGGCTCCGCTCGATCCGTTCAGCTGAACTCGGCTCGGCTCTGCTAAACTCGGAGTCGCTCGGCTCGGTTCGGCTGAACTCGGCTCGGCTCGGCTCGGCTGAACTCGGCTCGGCTCGGTTCGGCTGAACTCGGCTCGGCTCGGCTCGGCTGAACTCGGCTCGGCTCGGCTGAACTCGGAGCCGCTCCGTCCATTCGGCTGAACTCGGCTCGGCTCGGCTCGGCTCGGCTCGGCTGAACTCGGACCACCTCGCGTTCCAGGCGCGCCCCTCGCTGCTGTCCCGCTGCGCGGCCGCCGCACGGAAATCCCCACGCGAGATTAGACAAAGCAGCTTCTATGTTAAACCCTTTGTATCCTATCACGAGAAAACTCTTCTACCTCTGTTTTCTCATTTTTCTTCTTTGATTTCAAAATCAGAGTTACAAAAACCTACTCTAGTACAAGACTTAGTAAGTAGTCAATAAAGTAATCCCGTAAATTTCATAACCTAAAGTTATACTTCCGTTTCCACAAAAAATCCCCACACGAGATTCCTACTCACTGTGTCAAATCTTATTTAAAACACACCAAAAAACCTCAAGATAAATAGTTCCATAACCAAAACAAAACAAGCAACACTAACTAAAACCACACATCCAAATACAGTGTTTATCCATCACCAATCCACAAAATCCATTTTCTACATACATTGTTAGTACACCTCTTAACACCTAACCTTATCCCTCACAAACTTTAAATTGTAAATCAAAAAATCCTATAGATTACATAAACTCTTAAAATACAATTTATACGCTCTTACCCAAATTACAGTTAAACCACAAAAATTAAAATCACTAAAATCATTACAAAAAAGTACTTGTAGAATATTAGTTACAAAAAAAAAAAAAAAAAAAAACAAAAACAAAAAACCAAAAAAACCCCCCCCCTAAAAAAAAAAAAAAAAAAACACAAAACCACAAAGAAGTTACCTCAAAGTATCAAAAATATAATTTAAAACAATTTACATGACTAAGACTCAACATAACAATATGTTATCAAAAAAAACCCCATAATCACACAAATCTACTTCTCAATATCAGTTCCCATGACAGCAATGAACCGGGTCTGTTGGTGAGGGGTCTCTGTGTAATACCAGTGAACAAGAACAGCAGCTGAGAGCTGCACCAGAAACGGAGAACTGAGCAACACCAACTGCTTCCATCCTCCGGTCACTGCTCACCTAGCCCACTCACCTTGACTGCTAACATCCTTCCCTAAAAATTAAAATGAATGTCAAAGTTCTTGCCCTCTTCTGTGTCTTGTTGCCACCACGCAGAGGAAGCCAGACCTGAAGGAAGTTTGAGAGCCTCTCTCCTCATTATTAATCTGCAAAGCACTGTCCCTGGGATTCTAATTGGTAGGTTACATCACAGCAAATGCTCATACTCAGCTGGAAGTAGTCACTGAGTATCGTTTTCAGCACCCTTAATCAAGAAACTGCTTTCTCTGTCTGGTACACAGGCAGAATTTTCCAATGAATATTTAGCAGTGACATTTTGCTTTAATTCCCTCTATTTTATTTCCATTTAATTCCCTAAAGTCTTTAGTACCAATGCTTTTCTGAATGATTGGAAGATCACAACCTTGAACTGACAACAGAAAAAGTCCAGGAGTTCCCTAGCTCATGTTTTTTTCTTCTCTTTTTCTGCTTGCTGTTCTGATCTGTTATCTGTTCTTTTTAATGTGTATTTAAAGGAATACAGTTATTAGTACTCGGGAAGATTTGTGAAGTGCTACTTCTCCATCTCACTGGACATGTCACAGAATCCATCCAGAAAATTCCAGTCTGTAGCTGTACCAAATTCCAGATATTGGTACAAATAGTAGACAAAGTAAATGAAACACTGTCCCTTAGGGAGTATTTCCCATGTTTTTAAAATCTGTGTGAATAGATAGAAAATGGTCAGATCAAGTGTATATCAATTTAAATCCAGAACAGCATCACTTTAAACTGTCAAAAACTTCTGGGTTTTGATGATGGTTTTTAGACTACAAAAACTGGCAATACTGACCTTGAAAGTGTGAGACATTTTTCACATATTTTAATAAATACTGGAGATTAAATAAGGTGTTTACCCTCAATTTAAACACAGAAATGGAAAAGGAGATTTTCTCCTCAATTAAACCCTTTTCCCTACAAAACCTCCATTTTCGAGGGTTAGTGGGATGGACTGGGAAGATGAATGGAAAAAGAACTTCTTGTGCCCCCGCCCCGTTCCAGCTGCTCAGGTGGGTGAGGGTGGATGTGTTCCTCTCCCTCTCCCGCTCTGGCGCTGCCGCTTGGCGCAGGGCTTGTCCCCGCACACCTGAGCAGCGCTGCAGGTCCTCCCCAGCCCCTGCGAGATGCTCTCACCGCCACTCCGTGAGAGATTCCCCGGAATCCCCCCTGCAGCTCTCGGCAACAGGCGCACCCAGGTGTCACCCCCGCAGCACCTGGCCACAGCTGCGCGTCAGGAGGGGAGACCCTCGGGCAGGGGCAGCTCTGTGAGGGGGTGGCACCACAGACCCAGCACTGCAGCCAAAGGTGAGGGGAGGCCCCGAAGGGCTTCCTAGGATGTAGATGCACAAACAAAGCTTCATAGAATGGAGAAGGCTCAACAGCTTTTGTATTTTATACACACACACACATGATAGAGGTCACGTTAACTAGCCAGTGAATGTTACTGGCTAGTTACAGCAGTGAGCTTCATACAGCATCCCACCTTTATGGACTTATCAGAAGAAACAGTTTCAGGTTCTTTCATCTCCTCCAAACACTTAGGAAAGCCATTTTTAACCAAAGTGCTTGGCAATTTTCCCATCTGAATAAAAGCAAGCACTGGCAACAAGTGAAAAGAAAACAGAATATCTCGGAGACATAGTGGGATGGCTCCTATGACTAGAGCACTGGAATGGAAGGGCTGAGGCTTTTTAGGAAAGACAAGCTAGGAAGATGAAGAGGGGATGCAGCCCTCTACGGATATGGAACTCTGCCTGGGGAAGTACGAGGAGCCAGCTGAGAGCTTGTGGGTGAAGATTAAGGGGAGGGCAAGCACAGGGATATTAAGGATAACAGGAAGCCCTTCTATAGATGTGTTGCAAGCAAGAGTTGGGATAATGTGGGCCCCCTCCAGAAGGAAACAGACCTGACTACCCTGCACAAAGAGAAGACTGATGTTTTCAAGGACTTCTGTGCCTCAGTCTTCAATGGCAAGTGCTCCAGCCATGCTGCCAAGTTGAGAAAGGCAAATGCAGGGACTGGGAGAATGAAGACCCTGAGCCGACTGAGAGGATCAGACTCGAGACCGTCTAAGGAACCTGAATGTGCTCAAGTCCATGGGACCTGAAGACATACATCCCCAGGTCCAGAGGGAACTAGCAGAAGTTGCTAAGCCATTATCCATCATTTTTTGAAAAATTGTGCCAGTTAGGTAAACTCCCTGATGACTGGAAAAAGGGAACTATAACCTCCATTTTTGGAAAGGGGAAAGCAGAAGACCTGGGGAACCACTTCTACCCAGAGCAATGGTGACAGTGCTGCACAGCCCAATGGAGCTGCTTCTCCTATCTCTACAAGATCCTCCACTTCCATCACCCTCCACCTCACTGGTTCCACAGGACAGAGGCTGCCCAGCTCTGGAGATTGATGGACATTTCCCAGATATTTAATGGGCAAAGGAGTGGTGAGCATGTGTTGTGATGGTGTGGGACCTGAGCAGGACATACACAATATGGATTAATAAAGGCTGGAGAACATGCTGAGCTGGGCAGGAAGAGTCCAATTTATTCCAGTGGGCCTGTGGTTTGGATTTGTGCTGAACAGACTGTTGATAGCCCTAGGATGTTTCAATCAGTGCTGAGCATCAAGGCCTTTGGTGACCCTCACAGCATCCTGCCAGCAAATATGCTGGTGTTGCACAAGGACTTGGGAGGAGATAAACTCTTCAGAAGGGCTCAGCAAGGAAGAAGCAGTGAGGTAGCCCTGTATATGAGGGCATGTTTTGACTCTAGGAATTGACAGTGGTGATGAAAGGGTCAAGCGTTGATGGGTAAGAATCAGGGGAAGAGCAGATACCAAAGTGGGAATCTTCTCAGACACAGGGGGAAGGCTGGTAGGAAGAGTGGTAGTTCCCAGGATCCTTCAGTCTACCCTTAAAGCAGGGTGCAATGAAGTTTCCTGGATTGTCCACAGCTTTTCTTCTGTGACAAAGTGACCTGCTTGGTGGGAGAGAAAAACGCTGGGGACGATGTTTACCTGGGCCTTTATTAAGCCTTTGACACCATTCCCCAAAGCATTCTTGTGGAGAAACTGGCTGCCCATGGCTTGGACAGGTCCACTGTTCACAGTAAAAAAGGGTCTGGATGGCCAGACTCAGAGAGTGGTAGGGGACAGTTTAATTCAGCTGCTATCAAGTCACCAGTGGGGCTCCACTGGGCAGCACTGAGACCAGTCCTGTTTCTACCAATGACTTGGAGGAGACGCTCAGCCAAATTGTAAAGGATCTGCCAGAGGACAGGAAGACTCTATAGGGGGATCTGTAGAGGCTCAGGGAGTGCGCTGTCCCAGGCAGTTCCTGAAACCCCCTTCTCCCCTACCCCATCCCTGACTACTCATTCTTACTACACCCTTTTTCTCAACTGAGTCCAGCACCGCCGCCACCACTGAGGCTTCAAGCGGATGCTGAAGCACCATCGGCACTGCCCATGGCGCGTCTGCCAGGCTTCCAGGTATCTCCGAAGGTGGGCATGAAGCTGCCCCAGGAACCTTCCAGCAGCAGTGCTGGTGCTGTATTCCAGCTCCACTGAGCTGCTGCTGCTGCTGCTGCTGCAGCTGCTTTCCAATACAATGGGATTCATGATCACCACTAGTCTAGGGAGCAACCTGGCAATCGTCACAGATCTTCTGCGCTGCAGCATCACGGAGCTGTTGCTACTGCATCGTCTTATGTCCTTAGGTTTGTTCTCTTCTGTCACCTTGTACATGTCTGGCCTTGCCAACTCCACTTCAAGGCACTGGCGATGCTCTCTGGCCCCCAGCAGCCTCGGCGTAACATGCACATCAGCCTGGACCACCCTGCCGCTCCCCCGGCCCCATCGCCACTGGGACAGCTGTGCCTCCAGCTCCTTGCGGTGCTCCTCGAAGAGCGCCTGGGAGTCCTGGCAGCTCCGGATGAACCTGGGGAAACGCCTCCTGGAGCTCACGGAACCGTGTGGGGAGCTGCCACGGGGCAGCCCCGTCTGTGCTGATCCCCGTGCGCTGCCCACACTGCTCTGCCCCTCCAGCCGGCCTCTCGCTGCGCTCGGATGCTTTGGGTTCTGACGGATCCTCTGCAAGAACCACGGATGGGTGAGACAAGAGCAGCTCCCCAGAATGCTCCACACTGGCCTGCCAGGCATGCCACACCAATACACCCCAAACCCACACGGCCCAGCCCGGCCCGGCCCGGCCCTGCCCAGCACGGCCCGGCCCGGCCCAGCCCAGCCCAGTGCACACAGCAGATCAGAGGCCACCTACCCATAGACACTTGTCCCGTAGCATGACAATGACCAGGATGAGTTGCAGGACCACCATCGTGATTGCCACCAGCTCACCCACGGTGAAGATGTTGAGGAAGGCCATGGCACCGTCCCTGTCACTGGCACAGGCTGGTGAAGAGGCTCCCCAGAGACCTGCAGGATCCCAGTGAGGGGAATCCAACCTGCTGGGGTGACAGAGGCTGAGGCTGTTGTCTGCCGGGACAGTGCCAGGCTGTGGTGCCCAGCACTGTCTGCTCCTGTGGGGCCCCTTTTGTAGCCTGGCAGAGTCTCCTGTGTGACATCATGGGGCAGCCAGAGCCCTGTTTGTGACAGTGTGGGGCAGTCAGAAATCCCTTTGTGACAGTGTGGGGCAGACAGAGCCCTCTGTGTGTTATCCTGGGGCACTCAGATCCCCCTTCTGGATATCAAGGAGCCCACAGGAGGCCAATGGAGAGCCCTTGCTGCCACACATTCCACAGTGCCCTGCTGAAACCTTCAGGATTCTTTAAGTCAGTCAGGTGGTAACAATTTCATTTGACATCATGAACCTGTTTTCAGTTGTTGTTGGATCTGTAATTGCTGGGAGCAGGAGGAGGCTAACTGCTTCATAAAATAGATCTCTTTTGAACAGATGATTTGTCTCAGTTTCATGAGCCTCCAAGACACAAGGGCAGTGATCATGCCCCTGTGCTGGGCACTGGTGAGTTCGGACTTCGAATCCTATGTTCAGTTTTGGGCCCTGCACAAAAATAAAGACATTGAGGTTGCTGGAGTGTATCCAGAGAAGGACAATGGAGCTGGGGAAGGGTCTTGTGCTTTAACACCAGCCGGCAATTCAGTAAGGAAAAAAAAGTGAGAAAGAAACTCATAAAGTGAGATAATTCAATAAATAGAAACAAATTCTAAAAATATTGGATGAGAGAAAAGAAAGGGAGAAGAAAAACAAAGTTAGTATTAACAATTTCTCTGCACCCAACAACTGATGTGCAGTCAGTCACCCATCATGGAATCACAGATTGGTTTGGGTTGGAAGGGACCTTAAAGATCAAGTACGACCATCTTGCCATGGGCAGGGAAACCTTCCACTGGACCAGGTTGCTCCAAGCCCCATCCAACCTGGCCTTGGACACTTCCCAATAAAGGGCAGCCACAGCTTCTCCAGGAAACCTGTGCAGGGTCTCATCACCCTCACAGGGAACAATTACTTCCCAATATCCTATCTATTCCTTCCCTTTGGCAAAGGAAAGCCATTCCCCCTTGTCCTGGCACTCCAGGCCCTTGTCCAAAGTTTATTTCCAGCTCTCTTGAAGTCAGGGGCTCTAAGGTCTCCCTGGAACCTTCTCCTCCCCAGGCTGAACACCTCCAGCTCTCTCAGACTGTCCCCAGAACAGACAGGCTGCAGCCTTCAAGCATCTCTGTGGCCTCCTCTGGACTCATTCTAGCAGCTCCACATCCTAAAGGACCAAATGCCATCCAGAGGGACCTGAATACACTGAAGAAGAGGGCCCATGGGAGCCCATGAGGTTTAACAAGACCAAGTGGTGGTGCTGCATGTGGATCAGGACAACCCCCAGTATCAAACGAGTCTGGGGAATGAAGAGATCAAGAACAGCCCTGGCCAAGGGGATGCTGGTGAATGAAAGGCTGGACATGCCCTGGCCCTGTGTGCTAGGCTGATCCCACAGTGTGACCAGCAGTAAAGGGCAGGGGGGATTCTTCACTTCTGCCCTCTGGTAAGATCTCATCTGCAGTGCTGCCTGCAGCTCTGGGGTCCCAGCACAGGAAAGATGTGGAGAGAGTCCAGAGGAGAGCCCAAGATGATGAAAAGGATGGAGCACCTCTATGCTATGAGGAAAGGCTGAGAGAATTGGGATTGTTCAACCTGGAGAAGCTTTGAAGTGACCTAATTGTGGCCTCACAGTACTTTAAGGGGGCCAAGAAGAAGGATGGAGAAAGACTATTTACAAGGGCGTGAAGTGACTGGACAAGGGAGAACGGCTTCTAACTGAGACAGAGTAGGTTTAGATTGGATATTGGGAAGAAATTCTTCCCTGTGAGGCTGGTGAGGCCCTGGCTCAGGTTGCCCCAAGAAGCTGTTAGTGCCCCATCCATGAAAATGTCTGTCATGGTTTGACCAGGAGGTGAGTTTCTGGGAAAGTTATGGTCAAACCAATCAGTGGCCAGATTTGAAACTGGCACCTGGTGTGGCCACTGGGGACTTGGATACGCCTCTGAGAACACACAAGGGGATGAGGACTGTTTTGGAGGTGTTCCATTGTGGATTGTTGTGTGTGGTTTTTTTTTCTTTTTTCCCTTTTGTCTCCATGTTGTAGACTAATAAAGTGTTGTCTTTTCCCTCCATTCCCAAGTTGGAGCCTGCTTTGTTCTGTTTCCGGGTCACATCTCACAGTAACCATTTTAGAAACATACCTTTCATGGGGGCACTAGCACTGTGCCAGGGTCAATCCATGACAGTGTCCACGGCCAGGTTGGATGGGGCTTGGAGTAACTTGGTCTAGTGGAAGGTTTCCATACCCATAGCAGGGGGTAGAACAGGATGATCTTTACAGTGCCTTCCAACCCAAACCACACTGTTCTTCACCTCTAAGGACTACTGCTGCCAGCTTTTGAGGCACTTTATTTACAGCAACACAAAGAGCTGTAAAAACACAACAGCCAGTGAGGTGTGAATCCCTCGCTGTAACTGTCGCTCCTGATCCCACCTTCACAAATGCATTCTGGATACAAAGCCTTTGTGGAAATGTTGTGCTGCTTTTGGACCTAGAGTGAACAGATGTGTCCCCACAGAGCAGTAGCAGGGTTCAGCCCTGCTTGGTCCTACTCAGTGGCTGGTCAGGATGCTGCTGAGGCTCAGCAAGACAGGCTCTGGGTTCAAGTGTGTCCCAAAGGAGAAGCAGTTTCCACCACCGCCTATAACCAACAGCTCCTTCTCATGTGGCAGAAAGACACTGCTATGATTATGTAGCATTAATGGCCACTCCAGGTGCTCCTGAAAAAGGAAAGCAGATTTTGAACATACAGGACTTCATGTGGTCCTGAATGTGGGCAAGAACAGACAGCTAGAGAATATAGGAACAAGTAACCTCTGAGGTGCACTCCTCTATGACACCCACCCACCCACCAACTTGCAGTTCAGTGATTTTTTAATGAGAGAAAATGCCTTTGTACTCCCTGAATCTTAAGAAGGTAGCCAATCAGTTTTTGATTCAATGTAAATCTTCATGGCCTGTGGCAAGGAGTTCCAGAGCTTATCTATGTAACTGGCAGGTTCAAATGCCTAGAGAGTTTCACCTTAGTCAAAGCAAACAGCTCCTAAGCAAAGGAAGACACCAATCCATCTACAACTGCTTATTCAGTGCAAATAAAAAGTTACATTCTTTTAGACACAACTTTGCTATCACTGTACCTATCCTCACTGCTGTCCAACAAGGGCAGTCTATTTTATCTAAAGGATATGAGGCCACTTATAACTTCTGCTACAGACAATAATTGAAAACTAAGCTACAATTAAGCATGTTTCTTGCTTTTATTCCTGTAGCAAAACGCTGCAAGGTCAACTGGATGCACACACACTGTTCACTATAAAAGACGAACTCGTCACAAATTCCAGTTTCACCAACAACAGGTTCCATATGTACAGTTTAAAAAGAAACTTGTTTCTTTACATAAAAGATAAATAAAAACTTGTCAGGCCAAAGAAATGTTCTTAGAGAATCAGAGAATGGTTTGGGATGGAAGGACCTTAAAAAATGCCACCTTGTTCCACCCCACCTGCACTGGACAGCTTCCACTAGACCAGGTTGCTCCAAGCCCAATCTAGCCTGGCCTCTAACTCTTCCAGGCATGGGGCAGCCAAAGCTTTTCTGGGCAGCCTTTGTCAGTGCATCACCATACTCTTCATAAAAAATTTCATCCATATACCTAGTTTGAGGCTACTGTCCTTTAGATGAAAACCACCACCCCTTGTCCTATCACTACAGACCTTGCTAAAAAGTCTGTTCTCATCTTTCTTACAAGGCCCCTTTTAAGTACTGGAAGGGGCTCTAAAGGCCCCCCAGAGCTCTCCCTCTCTCTTAAGGCTGAAAACCCCAACTTTCTCAGCACATCCTCACAGGAGATCAGCTCCAGCTCTCTGCTCATCTTTGTGGCCCTTCTATGGATTTCATCCAACAGATCTATGTCTTTCTTTTACTCAAGGCAGTATTATCTGAGATGAGGGATACTCAAAGACATAGACCAAGTTTTGGCCAGAGTATGCCAAAATCCTGCTTTGTGACACCACCTGTATGACTGCTCTTCAGTGATGCACAGAAGTCACCAAATAGTGTCAGTGAAAAGGAAGGGTCTTCCAAGCATCATCCTGTTCAAAGCAGGCTCAAGTAGGCTTTTCAGTAGCTCGCCCAGTCAGGTTCCAAATATTGCCAATAATGGAAATATGACAGCTTCTCTGAGCAATCTGTTCAGGGTCCAATCATCCTTACAGGAAGCTTTTATATTCCAGTGGAGTTTCCAGTATTTCTGTGGTGGTTTTTTTTTTTCTTGTATTTCAGGCAGCAGCTAGAGCACACTGCAGTTTCCACCCAGAAGTTCTCAATGAAATTATACTACAGACCTTCATAAACACTAACTTAGCCTCTGGCTTATCTGTTCCCTTCCTCCACAGACATCCTGAAGTGACTATGCTTGTGCCCATTTCAGTTCTGCTGCCCCTTGTCTGAAACAGAGCAACTCCATGTTCCAGTCTTCTGCACATTCCATCTCTCCCTCTCTTAATCCTGTACATTCTCTGTGCTGGGTAACAGCATTTTGGAATTAGATCCTACCTCTCCACAAAGTTACTATGTTCCTTCACAGGACACTGCTTACCCTGAAAGAAAAATTTCAGTACTTACCACATTAATCACATAGTTCAAGCAGAGACCAGTCATTAAGTGGATGACAGTGACACCTGGCACAGAGGATGCATGAAACCACACTCCACCAACAAGCAGAAGCTTTCCTTCATGCACATGTGCAGTATGTGAATACCTGTGAGATCAAAACAAGGTTAAACTCCATTAGCAAGGACACTGGTAGAGACAGGCTGAAGAGCCTCTGCTGAATTCTCTGAGCAACCTGTCTAGTTGAAGATGCCCCTAACTCATTGCAGGGAGGTTGCACTACTTGGCCTTTAAGAGGTCCCTTTCAAATCAAACTATTTTATGATGCTATGAGTGTCTTCTGCTTACCTTGGGACAAGAGGAGGGTGTGTCTCTATTGTCTGCCACTGAAAGCCATGTTCAAGCTCCCTCAGAAGGAAAACTGAACCCAAGGGCTGCTCAGCTGCTCCCAGACCTCCTGCAATCAGAACACCTCCTTCCCAGCTGCAGGCACTGTGAGAGTGGCGGCTTTCTGGGACTGGACCCTCAACAGTAATCTGAAAAAACACAAGTCCAAGGCTGAAGTTTGCCAAGCTAAGTGTCTGCTTAATGTCCAGGCTTTTAAATGCTTTTTCCTGTGTGGTTAGTTTTTTGACATCCAACCTTCCCCACATGTTCCTCTAGAGACTGCTCCATGCTTCCATTTTCATTGTCTCTGGCCCTCAGTACATTTAATACAATCAGTCCTTAGAGGCTATATTTTCACACATTTATTAGAGGTAACTTTATCTTCATTCCTGCAGGCTGCTTTCTTTTCAAGACATACACCTGGAACTCCAAGTTAGCTTAGAAACACATAGACTAATGCAGTGACCAGCAAAGCAGGTGATCAGTTGCTCAAACCATAGAGCGGGTTAAAAAGCTCAACTGCAGGACTAAAACACAGAAATAAAACCTTTAGTGCAAGCACTAAAGGAAAAAATGTAAGGTCAGGCATTAAAGGAATATCACAGCAAATAAGCGATGTAGAAAAATGTGGAAGTCACTTTGTCCATACCTTTTCCCTACAACAAATGAAACTATATGTTATCATCTGGATGAATGAATGTTTATGTAACAGTTTCCAAAAGTCTGCAGTAACAAGAATTTCATACCTCCTTAGGCAGTCTATTGCAGACTCAGCTAGCTTCGCAATCAATAGCTTTCCTTAATGTCCATCTGATTCCCTGTACTACTCAAAGTTAAAATGGAGAACAATTTTTTTCTTCTCTGCAGCAGTATTTTAAATATTAGAAGATTTATTTCTATCTTGAATCTTCTTCAGATTCAACAGCTAGAAGACCTTCAAAACCTCCCCCTGTGAGGTATGTGGCCTGGTCATTCTTGGTGCATATCTCTATACAGCTGTTTTACACCCTGTCCACCTCCTTTTCAGCTGCCAGCTTTGGGTATTTTACAGGAGGTCTGCTGAGATTAAGAACATTGTAGAAAACAAAAGAAGCAATTAATGTGTCTACCAAATAACATTCCTGGTTACATAACTGAAGACACAGTGTAGGCCTCCCACAACAGCGGGATATTGCTTACTCACGCTTAGCTTGTGACCTCTTGCAATTATGCATCTCTCACCCTACAACTGTGCTGTGTACAAGGTCGGGCTCAAAGAGTTACATTAAACAGAGTTACATAGGCTGGTGGCCAGTACGTAAACGAGGGAGTAAGTCCTCTTCCACTCAATTTCCTCTTGTGACACATTCAGCAATCTAGATAACTGTGGCAAATCGGCAGATGTGGAGGTGGTTTTGATTGTAGCAAAGCCTTTAATACTGTCTCTAACAGTATCCTTCCACAAAAATGTCCAGCTCACAGCTAGGTAAGTCCATGATGGGAGAGGTGAAAGAAGACAGAGACAGTATGTTCTCAGCAGCATCCAGCAAAAGGGCAAGAAGCAATGGGCACAAACTGACATAGAAAAAAATACACATAAATCCCCCTCATATTGTTCTGTCAGGCTGTTCTGTCAGGGTGGTCGTTGCCCAAAGAGATTGTGGAGTCTCCATCTATAGATAATCCTACCTGGACAATATACTGAGCAACCTGCACTAGTTAGACCAGTTTTAAGCTAGAATGCTGGACTAGACAACCTCTAGATGTCCCTTCCAACCTCCACTGTTCTGCACAGACTGTATGTGACTAAAAAGCTGGGTGTTCAGAAGTCAGCTCTAACTCTAATCCCCATGGAGTATATTCTTACCGCAGTGCAGGAGAGTTCTGGAGCGTGCAGGAAATGCCAATCGCCGAGCACAGGCTCCAGAGCAGAGCGGCCACCATACACAAACAAGTACTGCTCACCTAGGGGAACACACAGCCAGGAGGTAACAGAACTCAGAATCTGGTGTGCCACAACAGAAAAAAATTCTGTTTGCATAGAAGGGAAGCTGACAAACAGGGTGCAATAATACTCTGGGTAGATGTCAAGGACATGCATTTACTGCACTATACGCTGTCCTTCCACTGATTCAAAATGGACTGTGCAGATAACACCAGTGTTGGTCACTTTCTTCAGCTACAAAGCAATACCAAGGCAAAAGTAAGATGAAACAATGCAGTCTGACAAAGACAAAATCCAATGTATTATGAATAAAATTTTATTTACCCACTTAGCATTTGCTTTTTTGATATAAAATTCCTACTGGAAGACTGAGTGCTACAGTATTAATTAAACTGCTCCACAAATGGAAAGTGTGCTCCAGACTAGACTAACAACTGCTTAACAATTCCCCTCTTCTTCTCTTGGAGAGCTCCCTGCCAGCTGCAGGAATGGGACACCTTAGGAAAGGACAGCTTTCAGCTCCTGAATGCCACTGCTTAAGTTTTTGCCCCTTACAACCAGGATCTTTTAATAGACCAACCTTCAGCTTGCTATTGCAGGACCTGATTCTAGAGCTGTTCACAACTACTAAGTGTTTGTAAATTGCTGCTAGAAAAGTAATATTTCTTCTGAAGGACTTTGGGATAAAGAGCTTGGGATCCTGTTCCCCAAAAAATATCCTACAGAGAGAGCAAAACTTATTTCTGCCATGATCAAGCATGAATAGCTTCAGCCATAGGTATCTCAAAGAATCAGTCTTCCAGAATGGATTACAGTAGGTTTCAATCCTACTTGCCACCAGGGATTATGTACATAACAAAATAAAAAATTACCATATTTCAAGTGTCAAGAAGAGATCTCAAAGCCTCCTAATTTCTTTACTACTGTCAGGCTTGAGGAATGATCAATATGAACGTCATGAAATTCAACAAGGTCAAGTGAAAGATCCTGCATACCTACAGCCATTTCCACTCTCTCCAGGCTTTTTACCTTTGAATGTAATTTCAGTTGTGCTGTGTCTCCAACGCAAAGCTGCTGCTTCAGCAGCAGGCTGCAGACTTACAAGCTCCACTGCAACATCATCCGGGCCTGAAGCACCACAGGTTTTGGGGAACTTCAGCCACAACATTCCCAAGCCTGTGCCCGATGGGGATGTTCGTCCTCCTAGCACCAGAGCCAGAGTGTCCGAGAGACAAGACACAGTATGGTACAACCTCTCACCTGTGGAGATACAAAACATCATGCTTCACGCAGGTGGTCTTTCCATGAAATTTATAATCATTTAAGTTGGAAAAGACCATTAAAGATTATCAAGTCCAACCACTCCTCCAGCACTCTCAAGGGCAAAACATAACATGTCCCTAAGAGCCACTTTCACATGGCTTTTAAATTCTTCCAGGGATGTGGACTTTATCACTACCCTGGGCAGCCTGTGCCAGGCATGGATGACCCTTTTCTTAGAAACATTTTTCTCAATATCCAACCTAAACCTCCCCTGGCACAGCTTGAATCCATTTCCTCTTGTCCTGTCCCTTGTCTCCTGGGAGAAGAGGCCGACCTCCACCTGGTTACATCCTTCTTTCAGGTAGTGGTAGAGAGTGAGAAGCTTCCCCCTGAGCCTCCTTCTCTTCAGGCTGAGCTCCCTGCCCCTCCCAGCTCCCCTGGGCACTACTACAATGAGCTTGTAGTAACATAAGAGCAACAGATGTCATCCACCTGGACTTGTACAAAGCATTGACACCATCCCACCTTGCACCCAGTGTCTAAACTGGAGACATGGATTTGACAGATGGACCATTCAGTGGATTAGGAACTGGCTGGATGGTCTCTCTCCAAGAGCTGCAGTCACCGGCTCAGTGTCCATGTGGAGACCATAGGTGAGTGCTGTTGTTCAGGTCTCCCTAAGGACCAGCACTATTTAACATCCTTGTTGGTGACATGGACAGTGGGACCAAGGGCACCCCAGCACATTTGCCAATGACAAGGAGCTGTGTGGTACAGGCATGCGCTGGAGGGAACAGGAGTGGCATCCAGAGGGAACTGGACAGGAGAGGTGGGACTGTGCCAGCCTGATGGGGTTTCAGCAGGACCAAGGGCAAGGTCCTGTCCCTGGGCTGGGGCAATCCCAGCACAAATACAGACTGGTCAGAGAACGTATCAAAAGCAGCTCTGGGGAGAAGGACCTGGAGGCGTCTGTAGACAAAATCTTCACTGACTCAGCAGTATGTGCTCACAGCACAAAAAGTCAACCATGTCCCAGGCTGCATCAAACGACGTGTGGCCAGCAGGTTGAGGGAGATGATTCTCACCCCCTATGCTGCTTTTCTGAGACCCCACCTGGAGTTCTGCATCCAGGTGTAGTGCCCCCAGCACAATTAAGACATGCAGCTGTTGGAAAAATTCAGAGTCCACTAGCTTGATCAAAGGGTTGAAGCCCCTCTGTTCTGAAGCCAGGCTGAGAGAGTCTGGGCTGTTCAGCCTGGAGAAGTGAAGGCTCCAGGCAGACCTTAGCACCCCTTCCAGTGCTTAAAGGGACTCCAAGAGAGCTAGAGGGACTTTGGAAAAGGGCCTGCAGTGACAGGACAAGGGGGAACAGCTTCCGACTGCCAGAGTGCAGGGTTAGATGGGATATTGGGAATAAATTCTTCTCTGTGAAAGTGTGGAGGCCCTGGCACAGGTTGCCCAGAGAAGTGGCTGCCATTTGTTTGGAAGCGTTCCACACCATGCTGGATGGGGCTCTGGTTAATCTGCTCTACTGGAATGTGTCCCTGCCCACGGCAGAGGGTTGGAGCTAGATGATCTTTAAAGTCCTTTCCACCCCAATCCTTCTATAATTCTATGACTCCAGCCCCTCAATGTCTCTCTTTCTGTTAGAGGCTCAGAACTGGACATGACACTCCAAATGTCTCTGCAGTGCCCAGTAGAGAGAGACAATCACTGCTCTGGGCCTGTGGCCACTCTAGGCTGGTACCAGCCAGGAGCCATTTTCCTCCTTGCCCAGCTGGGCTCATGTTCAATCATTGTCAAACAGAACCCCCAGGTGCTTTTCCAGCTTTCCAGTCACCCTGCCCTCAATCTGGGGCGCTGCATGGGGTTGTGGTGACCGAAGGGCAGGATGGGACATTTAGCAACCAGACCCTCAGGTGTCTGTGACTGCCAGCATCACTGTGCCATGACAGCAATTTTTCACTAGACTTTCTTTCACTTTTGGCACAAAGGTATCCCCCTTGCATTGCCATCGGTATGGGAACTCACCCCATCTTTTATCAGGAATATTCTGTGTCACACAGACAGCTTCCCAGTGGCCTGCATGCTTACTCAGCACGTGGAAATTTCTCACGCGGCAGTGTTGTCCACCCTCCTCCCCAAAGCCTCCCGTGGTGAGAATCATGTTGGGCTTTATAAGAACAGAGTGGTGACCGTAACGTCTCAGGCCAGGAATTCCTGACAGCCTTGCACACACTGCTGCAGGAACACTCCCTGCCATCCCAACAGGACCAGCGTGACGAGGAACTGGAAGACAAAGAGAACCAAAGAACTTAGGCACAAATACAAAACAAAGATTACATCTTAAGTAAGAGATTAAGCATGTCACCTTTTCAAAATGACTATTCATCTTTTCAAGAAAAAATTGAGAAGCAAGTTGACAGTGCACACAGATAATTTGACATGCCCTAGAAATCAGGATGTACTGGTTAAAATTACTACTGTACCAACTGTAACTTCTACTCTGCCCACTCAGCTCCTGAACTTCTGAGACTGTTTTCATGAGATGGACGTAAGACTGGCCAAGCAAGTGAAGTGTCCTAAACTGCTGCAGCAAGATATTAATCACTGCAGTACCTTCAAAAGGAGGACATATCTGATTAAGGCAATATTTGGCTACATGAACAGCAAAGAACAGCAGAAAAAGGACAAACACCTGGAAGCTGATTTCAAAGTTTCTTGCCAGATTTTGATCCTACCTTCACAGAAGCACTGAAATAACATTCTGAAGCATGACAAGTAATCTATTAATTCCAGTGGTCCTACTATAGGAGAGTATTTCCAGTTACCTAAGTATATTCTCTTTAAATATTATATCCCTTAGCATGAAGCAGACTCTCAGCACAGGACTCTGGCTCATCTACACATTGTTTTCTTTTAATCGGTTTGGAATCTTTGTTTTAATCAAGGGCTTTATTCTTGTGTTGTAAGAGATGATGAAGTGGGGGAGGAGCAGCTCGCAGTCCACTTTTTGTATGCCATAATCAGAAAAATCGCCTGTACTGATCATTGCTTTGTACAAGACCCTACTTAATCATTTGATGAAGTAAGAAATTTCATCTCCTTGGGCTTATATGTCTTTTTACAGACTGATCTTTTAAAGATGGAGGAATTTTTTCATGTCACAAAATATACTCTCCACAATCTCTTTGGAAGACTTAGTACATGCACTCTCTTGAACTGGGACCCAAGTCTATGTGAGTGGGTAACTGGGGGCATTTTACTGATATTAGAGACGTATCTTTTGCATTCCCAGTAAAATATATCTAAGCATGGACAATTCACTGGACTCTGAAGGCTTTTGCTATCAGTTTTGAATACAACAGAAACAACAGCAGAAAGACCCTAATCCTGTCTCTAATTAATCAAATCTAATTAATGTCTTCACTGTAATAAAGTCCGTTAAGAAAATGTTAGATTTTTTTTTCTTAATTTGAGAATAGATACTATGCATTTAGGAGCCTTCAAGCATTTAACTTAAGGACCAGTGACAATCACACAGTACATTAAATCTCACCCACATTCATTTAGCTTCAATTTCCCATCTTCAAATCTAATTGAGACACAACATATGGATTCAGTGGCCTTGTTGGCCTCAGGAACACTGTCCTTTTTCAGCTGCTTTTCTTGCTCCCTAGAACACAGATTTCAACCTTCTCTTGAAGCTACAACTACCTGTGGTGCTATACTGTGAACACTAGTGATATAAAACAGGTTAAAAATAACCTTCTGCTTTCTACCCTGAAAAAGGAAGCAATCAGTCAAAACAAGGAATTTCTTGGACTGCTATGGCCACCAAATCCTTTTTATCTTGGAAAGACAATATTTGTCTTGGCTCTTCCCCAGCTGTACCATTTTCCCATCTAAAAAAAGCGACAAACAGATTTAAAAGCATTTCAGAAACAGAAATACGGCAGGAACAATTGCACCCACAATGGATAAGGAAGCAAAGAACAGCTTCATGTCAGGCTCCTGAGTGGTCTGCTGGACAGGGTAGTAAAGAAAACAGAACAACCTTCTGGAGGCTGGAAGGAGAGACTGGTACATGGATGCAACCAGGAATAAATTTGAAAGGGAGATCCCAAAAACAGGACTAGGAGCAGGGTAAGCTGGCATTGCAGCCATGCACTGGAGGGGCTCATGTACGAACAAATGACAAGCTGATCAGACTGACAGGTTCAATAAACTGAAAGAACAGGAGTGATTAGAACCAGCAGAGTTAGGTCACAGCCCTGGCCTTGGTTTGGACAGCAGAACTGCTGTGGAGTGGAGAAAGCTACCAGACAGCAGCATCCCATCTGCCCTTTCCAGGATTTCAATGTCTCCTAAAACCTCTCAGAGATACCGACATGAGATAAAAGAATAATGTGAAAACTACTTGGTGTGTACCTGTCACACTGGGTGACAACGGAGTCCAGGAAGGTTCCATCCCCTTTGATGCAGCCAACACAAAGTAATGAGAACATTTCAGGTGCCATTCCTGTAGCAAGCCCAAAGAAAAAAACCAAATAAAAGACAAAGAAACCAATAAAGGAAGAGCCAAACAAAAAACAAACCCCTTAAAAATCTTAGAGCAAACAGTAGTAAGGACCTCATAACAGCCAGTGTGACCAAATCAAATACCAACAGCCTAGCACTGTTCCCATCAATGGTCAAAATCAGAGGGGTAAAGCTGAATCAGAAAAAGAACTGCCTCTCTCACTCCAACTTTCAAAAATTTACAGCCCAGGGATCTTCTAAGCAAGAAGCTGTGTCTTTGTATCGAACAATCCTTGAAGAATTTTTCATGCATGAACCTACCCAGCTGCTCTTTGAACTCACATAAACTTTTAACATGCCCAGCATACATCCCAGAGCTTAACTATGTGTTGCATGGGAAAGTTCTTCTTTTTGGAATCAGCTTCACCTTATGCCTCTGAGTTCTGATCATAAAAAAGAGTGAGGTCTTTATACCAGAGGGATTAAAATGATTCCAACGAAATCACAAATGCTAAAAGGTGCAACATGCTCTGTGCTGGACAATAGTACATCATTTCAGTCTGGCCTTAGAAACATTCTGAGGCAGAAGCACAAGCGAAAGGAAGGTACAGGAAACCAGCAGCAATGAGAGTTCACTGTGGTGTTTATCGACATTAGGGAATTGAGTGTGTTCATTCCTGTGGGGTGGGATACATTCAGCCAACTATGTGACTGGCAAGCATAAACAGGAATTTAAAAGGCACAAGAACTCACTGTATCAGCTTCATTGCCCCAACCCATATTAGAAGTAAAAAGCATCTTTTGAAAAGTGACATCCAGAAATTAATGTAAATACTGAAAATGAAATTAATGTAAATACTGAAAATGGAAGAATCCACTATTAGTTCCTAAGAAAATTATTCTAAAAATAGTCTCCCTCCACACTGGATGTGTATTTTACTTTTTTTCCCTAATTTGAACAAGTTTGTTTACAGTAAGACCTTGGATCTTACTTAATCTTTCTCTCAAAGGCTAACTGTAGAGCTCTCTGTTGTCACATCGTTTACTCCTGTGCACGTTTCCAGCTCGGATTCATGCACATTAACCTCCTTTGTAAGAAAAACAATACCAAGTCGTTACCTTCCCACTGTGTGAGCAATGACCTTGACCTACAGTTCCAGTAGACATTTCTAAACCACTTAGCAAATTTGCCACCGCTTTCAGTCACCACTTTTGCATTAATACAGCAGTGCAGATCCTAGCATCTTGGCAAAATAAATTCAAGCACATTCAATTGTTTTCATACTACAGTTATTCGATTTCTAAAATTATAAACAGAAAACCATAAAATCAAAAGGGAAACTTCTAGCAAGTATTCCACAGGATATTTAGCTCAAAGTTACTATCTTCCACTTATCTTCACTTCTATACTTCAAATAGTCGGAAACTTTGCCAGCAGTTAATATAAAAATGGCAAAGAACAGAGTCATAGTTGAATTTCAATCATTAATGCAGGAATGGTTGTACAAAGTCAGACCAAAAAAATCTGAAATTAGTAACCTGTATCCAACAATGACAAACAATAAAGTAGTCTATGGAAATGGAAGAGAGCAGGAAAAGTGCATCTTCTTTCCCCAGGAATGCTCTCAACAAAATGCAGTCAGGAACAGCACATCAGGCGTATCTTTATGTATTCAGTAATCCTTAATGGATTTCTCTTTCATTAAAGTAATTGTTCCTTGAATCCATGCCACCTTTTAGCATGTATAACTTCTTTTATACTCCCAAGTAGTTTGCTATGACAAGCCTGTCTCCTTGAGAGACTGCTCACAGGAAGGGAGGAAGGAACATGCAGCTTTTCTAAGATGAAGGAGAGCCTTCTTCCCATGCTGCTTCACCAGGAGGTCCCCATGGCCTGTGTGTTAACTAAGCTGATCCAAGGTCCTTTCTGCCTCCATGAACACCTGTGCCCCAGCAGCTCTGTACAGAATTGCAACCATAAGAAATTGCAAATACCTTATGATATCAAAGCCAGGTCCCTGATCTTCAGAATAATGGAGGGTTACCTCATACTCATCAAAAGGCTCCAGAGTCTGCACTCTTTGCTGCTCATCTTCTGGAATACAACAGGTGAAAAACTCATTCATATCCATGACACTGCACTCAGTCCAGCCCTAAAAGACAAATTCCTCAAAGTTATTATCCCTGGAAGGACAGAAACTCACTTCCCACAGAAAAACAAAGACCCTAAATTAAACACCTGCATGAGCCACTAAGACTGTCTAGCTAAAGCAAGGGCTTCCTAAAATCTGGTGAAAATAGATCTCTCATCTGTAAAGTTCTTAAAGATTTAACTTATTATGTCAAAAGTCTCAGAGGAACCCATTAATCCCATATGAGGCCATAGGCTGCGAGCCAGCTGGAAGCACCTTCTAATGACGAGTCATGCTACCAGAGAAGGCAGTAGCTCAGCCTCAGCCCTGTTTGCTTCAGCCCCTAACTGAGCAAGCACTCAGTGCTCCGTCCATCCTCAGATAACTCACACCTCGTGCACGCCCTAGAGCTGCAGGTGCTCACCTTCCCCAGGAAGCGCCTCTGCTGAGCCTGGCAGTCAGGGTACTGTGCCAGCGAGCGCAGCGCAGTGCTCAGCTGCCTGAAATGCTGCTGCATGACACGTCCAAAGGGGTCCTCTGGGTGCACCTGCTCATACAGCAGGAAGCACGCCTGAGGGAAATGCTCTGCTGCCCACTGGATCAAGGCATCTGACCTGTTGGGAGATTGTGCGTAAGAAATTAAATTGAGGGCCCACGCATCACACGACAGATGCAGTGCATCCTTCTGCAACACCACAAAGCTGCTATTAAGGCATCCTGACAAGTGGCAGTACACTAACGAGAGTGCTGTGCTGAATATCTCCTCCCCACCTGCACAGACAATTCAGGGAATGAGAAGAACAAAAACCTCAAGACTGTTCATTTGAAATTTTTCTTCTTTCTGTCCTTCCTTTTAGGATATCACATGGACATCAATTACATCATCATAATTACGATGTAGGGAGCTATTTGGGACGCCATAGAATTCCCAAGGTTTTAGTTTCAAGAGACCAGAACTCCGAGCCCAAGATGACGCACTCAGAAAGAAACTTGCTGTTTTCCCTTTACCACTGGGCAAGAGAGGAGAACTCAGCTGACCTGGTGCTCTCCATGTAGGTGAGCACCACCTCGGCGATGAAGAGGGTGGGGATTTCATTGTTCAGTCCTGCTTCCTCCAGGATTCTCTCCAGCTCAGACAGCTCTGATAAATCCACTCCCAGTAATTTATAATCATCTCCAGAAAAGGTAATGGCTCCTGGGAGATAAAAATGATACAACCTCACTATGGTGCCGCTGCAATATTGAGACCAAAAGAGACAAACATGAAAATCAAACCCACAGGCAATCACTCACAAGACTATGTCTGTCACCCTGATTTTTTAAGATTTTCCAAGCCTTCTGATGTTTATACTCTTGCAGCAAACTTTCTCACACACTTTCTGTAAATAACTTATTGTTTTGCTTTCTTTTATGGAGGAGGAGAAATGTGGTGGACTGTTGGTTTGTGCAGTGTCATTGGAGAGGTGGCACTGTCACCCTCCAATCCACTGCCACCTTTGAAAACCCATAAATGTTGGAGTCAGAAAATAAACTTCCCCTTTTTACCTTGAGAACAGCAGCATGTTCGTGCCGTGTTTTTTCATGTGCTATAGTGACACTATGTCTATCACCTATATTTCTCTGGAACATGTAAAAGAAAATCCCCATCACTACATGACCCATGAAGGGATAGTGCCATGTGATCCATTAACTGCAGGTCTAAAACTCCCGTATTCCTAATGCAAATTTCACCTACAGATTTCTCATATAATTATTACACTTCCTATAACAAAAAAACTTTATTATATTTATTTTAAGAGAATTTTTTTGAACCACTGTAGTTCAAAATCAAACCTAAAGGGCTCTCATTTATACCTTTCACTTTAGGCTATGAAAGCACCATTGCTTTGATAGAATTTCAGTGGTTCCCCTCACAATCAGAACACCATTCTTAGGTTTCCTAGGCTTGGTTGGTCTGTTTGTTAAACAGATTTCATTTCTGTATAATAGCACTGAGTTCTGAAAGTGCATATGCTCGCTCTCAGCAAACACCAGGACCTGACTCACAGACCACCATCCCCAGAAATAAGCTCCAGGTTATGATCTGCAAGCATTATCATACCTCTGTATCCCATCAGAATATAGTAAGGTGTGGCTTATTTTTGACTTTTTCAGTCAAAACCACATCAGTAACAAACCAAACTGTAAAGTACCTTTAGCAATTACCTACTCTGTCTCTGCAGCCCAACAACTGTAGCTGTCCTGAGCACAGTTAACCTATCTGAGACCTTCCTTTAAGTACCTGAAGATTCTTGGTCTGGACAGAGGTCCCTACCAATATCAAAAATGTGAATGGATTCAGGAAGAAAATGAACAAGTTCATGGAAGAGCTACTCACTAAGCCCTGGGAGTCAGGAACTCACACTCTATAGCTGTCTTCCATCTGTATTTAAATTGATCAATGCCATCTAAATGCAGTGGCTTACGTATGTCCCTACTGCATTTCATTCCATGTTTGCCAGACCCTTCGTGTACTTTGTCAAACTCCTGCACTCACTCATCTTATTGCAAGTCCCCATGTTTCCTGCAGATTTATGACATTTCATCTTCTATAGCACATAATCTAGAGCATTACTGGAAATGCTGGAGGAAAACAGATGCAGGAGAAACCTCTAGTGATCCACATGCTTTACATTCCTCCTTTTATCCCTCATCACCCAGCTGGCACAAAATTCTGCAGCAGTTGCACAAGGCTCATTTTCTTCTGCCTTGGAGGGCAAAAAAAAAAGCCAGGAGACATAATAATTAATGTTTTATTACAGTCAAGACACTTAAAATTCAAACCTCCTCTCTTACCCATCAAGCCCATAAATCATTGTATAATTTAGGGTGAAAGGGACATTCAAAAGTCATCTTGCCCAAATGCTTCCTCATGGCAATTATCTTGATCAGAGATTTGTCCAGTTAAGCTCTATCTCTGTAGTGGTTTTGGTTCCTAAGGCTGGAGATTCCATTACCTTTCTAAGCAATCTGTTCCCATTTTTAACTACTCATATGGCACAATCTCCTCCCCCAACATTTTCATTATACATCACTGGTATTTCCTCTTTTTGCCACTTTCAACTGTTCCTTGACTATCTGCTTTATGCCTCCAAGGAAAGTGTGGTTCTGTCTTTTCTAACCTCTCCCAAGAGGTAAGCTGCAGAGTGCAGTAAGACTCACCTCCCTCCCAAACTCCTCCCCAGACAGCTGAAGGAAACCAGCTCTCTCCGCCTCCCCTCCTACATCACCTGCTCCATCACTTCATCATCCTCATAACCTCCCACTAGACACGCTACAGTTTGCCACTGGTTTTGGACCAGCATGCTCCAAGCTGGACACATCCTTTCAGAAACTGCAACAGAAAATAACCTGACCTTGGTTTGATTTAATCAGCTCCTGACAAATCCATCCTGGCTTCTTATTATCTCTCAATGCTTACAAATTATTTGTTTTAACATTTTTCATAAAATGAATATCCTTTTCATCTACAATTTCACAGTTCCCCTACTATAATCCCTTCCTTTTTGAAGGCTGAAGCTGTGTTTATTCCTTCTAAACACTTTGTACAAAAAAAATCTTTCATGAATGCCATACCTGATCTTTCCCCTCCAGTGTCTCCCACCAGTGCTGACAACTCTTTCACTCCTTTGATCAGCGTAGCTTTTTGGCATGCCACACTTGGGAAATCTACCTCATATACCACAGTGTGATGCAGAAGACCCATATCCTTCAAACGGAAGTATAAGGAATCAAAGCCAGCACCTAAAGACAGGATCTGCAGAGAAAGTATCAGAAAAAGTTATACTCAACTCTAGCAGCATCTTGAGCATCTACGTGTGAAAAATATTAAATATCATCTTTACAGTGACAAAACCAGGCAACCTCCTGCAAGAGGCAGAAGAATTTTGTGTGGCTATTGCCCCCCTCCAGATACTGCTGCCAAAGTGACACATGGACAGCCGCTGTCCTGTCGGTCAGATTTCTGTGCCGTGCTGGGAAGGATCCCAACAGATGCACTAACGAGGCACTGCCCAGATGCCAGAAAGACTTCACACACATTTAGTGAGAGATGCCAGACGTCCCAGAGAATATGTACCTGTGTCCTGGGTAGGTTTTGTGTCTTCAGCAGGAAGTCCTGAACACAGTGATCGACAGCACGGGCACGGATGTAATAACCCCTGCAGGAACAAATTCAGTTATAATCACTGTCCAGGAACCTGATTTCTCCAGCACTGGCAACTTCAACTTTAAAAAAATTAAGATTTTTTTTTTTTTTTCTCTAAGCTTCTACCCAATAATTCCCCGTTTACAGACCTGCACTGGGAGACTATTTTGTCATCTCTACAGCTTGGTAAAAAATACAGATCTCCTGCAACCAGTGTGCATATTAACCATCAAGATAACAGATAACCCAGAGAAAATGCGCATATACCCCAGCTGGACTAGTTCTGTTTTGCATAAGTAAATATTTGCTGACTGAAAATGTACGAATCCTGACAGTGATGATGCTCCCTGACAATGCAGATGGCCGATACCTGAGTTCCTGCCCCAAACCATATACCATAACAACAAAATTAATGTGTGCTCATGTAGTGAGAAGGGAACAAAAAAGGGAGGAAAAGCAAAGTGAGGAGAGGAATCCTGTTCTCTGCTTCTTGAATAAACAGAACTAAGTCAGAAAAAAAGCATTTACCATTTCTCTACTCTGCCATGGACTGATGCCTCTTGTTTCTCAGCATTCTCTTTTAGTTAGTTTCATCCTAGATCCACCTGGCTATATTCCTGCTTTTTTCACCCCTTTAACAAGCATGTTATCATCTTCACGCCTCACAGGGACCTCATAGTCTAAGATGTCCCAAACTTGTTGATAAATGCAATACAGAGCTCCTGCTGTGAATTCAGCTTGGCATGCCAATGTTGTGTGACGAGTCAGTGCAGGTTTCCTGATGAGCCACACACATCTTCATAGGCCTGCAAGCTTCTGCTTGAGCAGCACTGTTTGATTTTTCCCTGAATGAAACTCCTTTGGCAATTCACAGTGTTTTGGATTGCATTAAACTACTCTCCTCACTTTATGTAAATTCCACAATGTCATCAGCCTAGAGCCCTCTCCAAACACACATTAAAACATTCTTGTGTCTTACAAAGCTCTGGAGATGTTCTCCTGACCAGACACCACTGACTCAAAAGGTCTTGCTTCCCAGAGCCACCAAATACCTTACAGAAATTGTAACATTCTGCGGAATTAAAGAGAGAACTATTGATGTTATTACACTATTAGTATATCTTCAAATATTACAAAGATTTCAGCAGCATTGAACACTGGAGTTAGGAACCAGTCTGGTGGCATATTTTTCTCAGAACAAACCATTCAGTTTTGGTCCAGAAGCCATGTAACATTATATTACCAGTCTAACACGGTTACACTACTGCAAGACAGGGCACTGCATGTTGCCACTCCGTACTGTGCTAAAACTGTGTGTGAGAAGCTGTGCCTTGCCCAACTGACAGCTCCAAGCATGAGGGTTTGTGGTGGAAGGGACCTTAAGCTGCCCTCGTTCCACGCTTCTGCCATGGCAGGGACACCTTCCACTGTCCCAGGCTGCTCCCAATATTCAACCCGGCCACTGACACTGCCAGAGATGAAGCAGTTACAGCTGCCCTTGGCAACCGGAGAGCCAGGGCCTCGCCACCCCGAGATCTTCCCATCACAGGGAAGATCTCCCTACTAATATGTAACCTAAACCTACTCTCTTTCAACTCAAAGCCGTTCCCCCCGTGCTGTCACTCCTGGCTCTCCGCAGTCCGACCCGAGCGGCCGCGATCCCCTCCCGCGCCCCGCAGGCACCGGGGCTCAGCCGCCGGAGCAGCTGAAGGTGCTGCCGAGCCCTCGCTCCTCACCGGTGGATAAGGGGCGCTCGCCGCCGCCGCCGCCCCGCCAAAAGCCGCAGGAACCGGTCCTGGATGTAGCCCCGCGCTGCCGCCGAGCACTTGCTGACGGCGCTGCTGCCGCCGGTGCCCTGGACCTGCCGGGACAATGACACGGCGCTGCCGCTCCCGAGCGGCATCGCGATCCGAGAAACGCACGGGCCCCCGGCGCGGGATGGCGGGCCCGGGCAGCCTCAGGAGGACTCCGAGGGGAGGGGACTGCAGTGTCCGCCGCCGTCGAATGCCCCTCCGACCCGGCCTCCGCTCCCCTCGCTCTGCGAAGCAACCGGGCCGAGGCTCCCCGGGCCGTTCCAAAGCGGCAGCGAGGCCCCGCGGTCGCTCACAGCCCCGCGGGTCACTCGGGCCCGGGGGTCACTCGCGGCCCGGGACGCCCGGGGCCATCCTGCGCACACCGCGCCGACCGGAAGCAGGAGCGCAGCGCCGGACGCGGAGAGCGCGGAGCGCGCCCCCTCGCGGGCACTGCCGATGCCTCCCGGTGGTGCGGGACCGCGGGCCGCGCCGTTCATCGGGAGAGAGACGTAGAGCACCGGGCAGCTGTGGGAGGGGCACCGGTGCCCGGGGTGCACTGAGCACCGGGCAAGGAGCGCCCCGGGCACTGGGCAGCGGGCACGGAACGCACCGGGCGAGGAGCGCCCCGGGCCCTGGGCAGCGGGCACGGAGCGCCGCGGGCACTGGGCACCGGGCGGCCCCGGCGCGGTAAGCGGGCTGCAGGCGCAGTCTCGGTGCGGGGCCCTCCGCAGGAGCATCCGTTCGGGCCGAGCTGCCCGGCCGCAGGTGGCGCTGCTGGCGGCGCGCTGAGGGCGCCCGGCCGTGCTGAGCACCGGCGGGCAGGGCCGCGGGGGCCGCGGTGGGCGATGCTCTTCGGGAGCTTTACTGGAGGTACAGAGCCGCCGTGGTGGTCTGCTTATTCAGCAGTCGTCTGTCGTAGTGGTGGTCTATTCAGTCTATTCAGCCGTTGTTCTGTTCAGTGTCTCTACGCATCTTGCAACCCACAAATTAGTGTGTTTTGCTTTAAATAAGTTACAGTCTCAAAGTGTCACTTTTAAAGTAAGTGGTCACTTTTAAAGTGTCTATTTAAAATGCTGTGCCGTGGAAGCATTGCTATTTAGAATACTTGGTTGTAACATTATGGATATTGTCCTGTTGGTCCTCATTACTGCAAGAGTAGAGGGCTGGATTCACCTGCCAGTCCAGGACAACGTGTTAAGAATTTGATCTGGGAGAGCATATGGTTTGAGCCTCAGATCCCAATCATTTTATTGTAATGTAATGGCACGGAGAGGCCTCAGTGATGGGACAAGACCTTGTCTGGCTCAGGGCAGTAAAATACAGAGCCAAGCAACACAACTTGTGAGTTATGCATATGGAAGTAGTGAGTGTACAGTATAAACACTGCACAAAATACATCTGTGTCATCAAAAAGGCTGTGAATAATAAGATACAGAATCACAGAATAGTTTAGGTTGGAGGAGACTTTTAAGAATCGTCTAGTCCACCCTCTGACATGGGCAAGTTCATGTTTCACTAGACCCAGTTGCTTAAAACCCCATCCACCAGCCTTGATCACTGAAAGCAATCACAGGAACTTGGTCACAGGAGACTTGCTTCCTGGTCATTGTTAAGAATGTAAACATCTCCAAAAAACCCCATCACCGTCCAGGAAAATACTGTGATTTTCTCGTACTTTGATGTTCACTGGAATCTTGTCTCCATCAAAAAGAGTGATAGAAAGGAAGATATCCTTAGATATAATGGCAGTGATGTCAGAAGTGGAGAGAAGAAACAATTATCCTCTGTCTTGTCACAGAAGTGACAAGGAAAGTGCAGGAAACAGTTGTGAGGGCTTTAAAGAGTGATTTGTTTTATTGCCTTGTGGAGACTGCAGTAGAGAAGGAGGAAGTGAGATATGGGTGTGCTGAAATGCTAGCCTGGAGGGATAGGTTTTGCACTGGTATTATAGTGAGGTAGGTTTGTGAATCAACACTTGAGGAGATGTGGCAAACAAGAATGCTGAAGATGGGGGTTTTGTTTTTCTGTTCTTGTTTTGCAGAGAACTTGGACCAGAGGATCTGGGGGAGGTCCCAGTGTGCTGATATTTATAGGATGGAAATGACATAGGATGTCTTGTGAAATTGTTTGATACTACAGTATCAGCCCTGCACAGAATAGTGGAAGGGTTGGCCACACATTGTCAGAGGGAATGATGACTGCTGTTAGCTCTACAGTCAATGTACATTTCCAAGAAATGTAATTTATGCCTGTTTGGAATACCACCAGTGGAGGTACATTGCTATCCCAGGATATTTTACTTCCCTGTGTTTTATTTTTAAGCAATATTGTGGTCTTTTAAAATCTATGTGTTAGTAATTCAGAACTTCATAAAGTTGTGTTACCCAGTTCATGTGGAAGGACAAGAGCTTGACTTTAGGCACTGCTGGAATTGGCAATTTTGGAAAAATTACTAGAGTTTTGAAAATTTTGTTTTCTTGCAGGAGGACACTCTCAAGCTCCACATCAAGGGATGCCGAGCTCCACCTGCCTTCCTTTTTCTCAGTGGGAGCACTCTTCATCTGCTCACCTACCACAGAGCTCCCGTGCTCTTGCTGCTTTCCCTATTTTAAGGACACATTACCAAATGTATCTGCTGCATTTACATTCAGTGATTCTCTGCATTTTGTGAATAAACATGGATTGTACTCATGGCATGGTATTCCTGATAAACTGACACTGCATGTGCTGCTGTGTTGGAGGTGTGTCTGTGCTGTTCAGAGACCTTGAAACATTGGATCAATTTACTTTTGCTCTCTGTGATGCCTTAAGTTTTAGATTTCATATTTTCCAGATTCTGTACTGCCTTAGTGTATAACTCTGAACTTCATATAAAGTGTCAGCAGTTCTCCTCACAGCTCAGTCACACAAACCAATCCTTTTCCAGCCCAGAACCAAGGAGCTTCAGCCCCAAAAAGTGCAAACAACAGGGAACTGAGGAGGGCAGTCTGGGAAGATGGGACTGCACAGCCTGGAGCTGTAACTGGACAATTAACCCCGATATGGAAATGGACCAAACTTATAAAAGTGTAAAAACTCTTGACCCATCTTGGGTGGAGCCATGGCCAGGCTCTTGTACTGCCCAAGGTGATTCCTTTGAAGGCCTTTTAATAAATCCCTACTTTATTCCTTTAACTCTGCCCAGCCTCTGTTCCAGGTCTGCCTCTCTAGGTATCATCTGTACAGGCTGAACTGCAGTTTGAGTTATTGTACGGTGTGGGCTTTGATTTAAAGAGTTACTGAGCAAGACAGAAGCCTTTAACTTTCACTGAGGGAAGCTGAAGTTCCAAAAGTAACCTTTATGTCTGTATTTAGGGACCTGGTGTTTGGGGTGCTGTTCCTGCAGCTGCTGTGATCAGCAGACTCAAGCCTCTCAGAGCTCCATTTGTATTTAAGAGATAAAGACCCTGCCTTGTTCTTCTCTCCAAATGCACAAGTTACACACTGTTTCACAGTTTCTTTGGTGACTTGAAAGCTTTCAAAAATCTGTCTCTTCCATTGTTTCCTCCTCACCTCTGTCTCAATTCCCTGTCTGTAAAATAGGGGTAAGATCAAATTTCCTATTTCCAAGGGGAAAAGCATGAAGGAAAAAAAAAAAAAGGATTTTTTGACACATCAGAGAAAAGTGATGTCTGTGAGATATTTTTCAGTAGTACATGAAGAGCTCATTAAATGCTGATCAGTGATTAACTGATCAACTTCTGACTTAAACTCTGTTGCTGCTTTTCCAACAGATGATTGTCAGCAGTAGGGCTATTTCCAGGAGAGTGCTACAGAGCACTTCATGGGTACAGATTGGTGTCTGTGTCCTGGAAAGTGGGAATTACAGGAATTAGTGATTGTATTAGGTGACCAACAAAGTAGAGGTTCCACTTTAATGAGACAGCTAGACCAAAAGGTGTTTTGAAGCATATATGAAAAAAAATAATAGAACTGTTGAAAGAGACCAATAATCATCTAGTTCAACTGTAAGAAGGATTGGCATTACTTACGTTTATTTCGTTAAAATTGATTACTGGCACAACGTCAGTGTTCTGGGATCAGCATTTCAAACCTCTCTTGGTTGGGAGTTGAAAGGAGTTGTGATTTGAGGTCACCCCCGTATTCAGAGATTGAGGGCACAGAGTCTCTTCAGTTGTAAAATGGTTGTAAAACTGACTAGTATGGATCTACAACAAGACTTTCAGAAAAAGAAATCCAATCTGTAATTGGACTGTGAGCAGATCTTGTCAAGCTCCCAGCTACATGATGCAGCTACTCTGCTGGCAGCTGACATTATTTCCTACCAATTTCCTGATGTTTCAAGGATCACCAGTATTGTAATGTTTGTCAGCAGACGTAGTGCTGCTTTCCCCAAGTTAGAATTCCCCATCCACATGATGTTTAAACCAGAATCACACATACCCATTTATTCCCAGGAGGCTTAGATGGACAGGATAGCACAGGGGAAGTCCTTCAGTGTTGTGGCTCCCAGTTCTGCAACATCTCACAGTTTCATCCTGCTGTCATTTCTGCTTCCAGGGTCTCCTAACCTGACACAGACATCTACTCAGTCTCCAGGGAGTCTCTGGTCTATGAGTTAGGCCTTACAGCATCTGAGCCACAATGTCATCACCTTGGGGCCCCACACATGGATGGCAAGGGAGGAAACAGGATAAATTGTGCTGGCCCCTGCTTTCTTGTGGTGAGATCTGCAGTTGCCAGAAACTTCCAGCCTTTGTTCTGGGCTGGGAATGGGTTTCATAATGGGGAGGAGGGCACTTTCTATTCTGAGAGGAGAAAGCAGCACCAAGGAAGGTTTTAATTTTCTGCCACCAGTGCAGAGCAGACAGTTTGCTGGCAGCTGCAGGGCTTGATAAACACTGCAGTCCTGATCCAGTCTGTCACAGGGAGGGGGACTGCAGCAATGGAGCATGTTCTTATCCTGTGGGAAAGGGTCCTTGATGGAGTGATGCCTAAAGATTTTTGCTTTTTATACATTTTTCATAAATTTGTAGTTTTGTGGACTGTTAATACATATAATTGCTAGTACTTTTTCTGTCCTCTCCCATAGTTTTAACAAACCTTAGAAATACATTTCTGAAACTCTGTTTAGTCTTAATTTTTTATGCCTTTCCCTGCAATCAGGCACTTTTCCTCTGTTACAGTCATGCACCCTGAGGTCCTGTTATGAAAATTTTCTGCTTAGTATTTTTCAAATGCTTTGAGGGAGGGTTCTTGTTTATATGCCATTCTTACTTTTTTATTCCTCCCATCTTGCTGATGCTATTTTTCCATCTTGTTACCCTTATCTGTTAGTGGTTCCCATTGCCTTTGCTAGTTCCTTTCTCTGCCTTGTTTTTGTTTTCCCATGGTAAGCATAAATTTAAATTCTGCATCCATTTGCAAGAGCTGCTGCTTCCTTCTGTCCCCCTTAATTTGATTAATATTTCCTTCCATCTTTTCTGCTTATTCAACTGGTCATGTTGCTGATTTTAATATTACGTTGCTTTTTCCTGCTGTTTCTGAAATGCACTTTGTAAGAAATGGATCTGTCTCTGGCACCTTCATGGTCTCCCTGTCTACGTCCCGAGTCCTTTAGCAGCTTCAATGCCTTTATTTGACATTTCTCAGGTCTAAATTGATAACTTGTGTTGTCTGAACTGAGTCAGGTGCCAGGGGAGTGCTGCACTGCTGCTTTTCCATTGCTGCCTTTCCCTCTGCCCTGCTTCCTTTCATCTTCTCTTCAGAGCAGTGCTGTGTTCAGTTTTTTGGTGTTGCTGTCACCAGATCCACCCTGCCAGCCTTTCTTTTTTCAGTTACTGGCTCTTTCTCTTTTTCTGCTCAGCCATGGCTCACACTTCTCCACTAATTCTCTTCATGCTCTGATGTTCTCTCTCATTGATTAATTTTCTCCTTTTCTTCCATTGCAATCTAAACCCCAAAATTCCTCAGCCTTTAAAGACTTATAGGATCTCCTTCACCTCCTGCATGGGTTCTTCCCACTTTCACTTTGCCATCTTCCTAATTTAAAATGGGAAGGTTCAAAGTTTGGCTTATTTCCTTGTCCTTCATCTCAGGTGGATTTGACCTGTTTTAGCTCATTCCTCAAACTCTTTCCTCCTCCTGTGCTCAATTGTTTCTTTGTAAGAGCTCCCTACTTCCTTTCCACTGGAAAGGAACAGGAAATAACCTCTTCTTTCTTTTTGCCTTGTTTCATTCTTCTCTTTCTTCTCCCCCCCATCACTAATGCAGAAATTTCTGGTCTATTTTGTTATTGCAATCTAAGTAACACACTGAGGATTTCAAATGCAGAGTTTCAAATAATTTATGTGACTAATCGTTTGCTCTAGAAGGGAAGATGAAGTTTGTAGGTGGTGGGCTTACAACAAGCAGTGACTTTGCAGCATGGTGGGCTCTGTATCTCAGTCTCCAAGGCTACAGGCTACAGCAAGAGTGAACTTAAAACCTGTAATGCACAAAATCACTCAGGCACAAAGTAAGTGCTGTGAGATGTGCTAATTTTCTGTAAACAACACTTAACCCTTATGTTTTGCTTCTCTATTTGAGAAATAATCAACTGTACAAATAAAACAAAGGTCTGCAGTAGTGTGCAATACAGGTGAAGGATAATGTTTCTCAGAATCACGGAGTACTGAAAGCTGCATATTGTCCATTGTGGCTGTGACAGAGGCTGCTGAAGCCACTGCAGGTCCCAGGGTTCCTTAGGTGGGAGATGTTGGATATGGAGCCTTTCTAAGTGCAGATCTGGACACGTGGTGGAATAGACCTGGGAAGGTGCTGAGAGTCCTTCACCTTTAACAGAAATGAAAACAGAAGCTATTATTCTTATTCTATATTAGAATGTAATAGTTCCACTAGGAATAGAATAGTTCCACTATGAACCTGCAAGGATCATCTAATCAAATTGCTCAACTGCTTCAGGGCTGACCAAAAGTTAAAGCTTTAAGGCATTAAGGGCAATGTCCAAATGCCTCTTAAACACTGACAGGCTTGGGGCATTGGCCATCTCTCTAGAAAGTCTGTTACAGTGTTTGACCAGCCTTTCTGTTAAAGAAATGCTTCCTCATGTCATCTGAACCTCCCTGCTCAGATTAAAAACAACACAGATTTTTCTGATTCCTGTACTGTTGTGCTCCCTGCTCACGTGATTTTACTTTGAACACTTTTTCAGGTTTGTCAAATCCAGGATGAATGGAGAACGTTCAGCTGCTTAAGATCATATTTTGCCTTCATTAAGGAACCACAGAACCTGGAATGGGACAACCATCAGTACCAGTGGAGGCTGGGGATGGAGAGATTGAGAGCAGTCCTGCCAAGCCTGGCGATACCAGTGGATGGAGCACTGGCTGTGAGCTGGCAGCCCAGAAAATCCATGGGGGCTGGGGCCAGCTCCAGGGCAGTGATTCTCCCCTTCTCTGCCCAGGTGAGACTGCCTCCAGCTCTGGGGACCAGCAGGAAGGACGTGGAGCTGTGGTGGGAGCCCAGAGGAGGCCACGGAGATGGTCCCAAAGCTGGAGCCCCTCTGCTGTGGAGACAGGCTGGGAGAGCTGGGGGAGCTCAGCCAGGAGAGGAGGGGGCTCCACCTTGTCACAACTTTTCAATACTTAAAGGGGGCTTATGAGAACAACAAAGATGCTTCTTACCAAGGCCTGCAGTACCAGGACATGGAATAATGGTTTAAAACTAAAAGAGGGTAGATTTTGACATAGCAGAGACGTGTTCACATAATTAAGGTTGGGGTTTTTTTTTGTTTGCAATCCATGATAATGTAACACTGAATATTCTTATCCTTGAAAAACTCTAATCCTTGAATCTTCTTGACCCTTTTGTTTAACTGTATCTTTTAATTATAAGATCTACAATTGAAACACACGTATAACTGTGGGTTTTATGTTCAGAACTGTGGGATTTAAATGACTCAGTGATGCAGTTGCTAGCAGTCGTAAATCCCAAACCAACAGAAAGAGTACTGTGAATTGGACTTGGACTGTCATCTTGTAAAACACGTGCCATAGAACTTCACTGAATTATCTTTTCCTTGATTTAATAACATATATTAGGGAAAAAAACCCTAACCCACAAACAAAACCCACCAAAACACAAACAAAAAATTAAAACAAAACAGAACGAAAAGAAACCCAAAGCAAAGGCCCTCACAAGCATGCTTTCACTGAGAAGTTACCAGTCACCAGAAATTTACAACATCATTAGTTAAGTTGCTTATATTGTTAATTACTTCGGCTGTTAAATTATGTATCCTGATTTTGAGCTGAATTGGTCTGTCTTACAAGATTGCATCCAGGACAGTTTTGCATTCTGTTACATTCAATCTAAAAGACTGGTAATTGTTCAAAACACTTTTTAAGAAATCTTCCCTAAATATATCTACTGCATTGGATATTTACCAAATATTTAACCTCTAATATGGTAGAATTGATTAAAAATTGTTTCCATTATCAATTGCTGCAGTTATGTATGCTCATTCTGTCCATTCTGGAATGCAGAGACAATGTAAGAATCAAAATTGAAATCCAGTTGTTTCAATCAGAAAAATGAGCATTTCCACACCCTCCCTGCACATGTGCTGTTGACAACATGCTTCTCAGGTACAGAAATCAGCCTCTTCATTTCTGTGGATTCTAGGTTTCTCTCTATTACCTTTCTCAAGTAGTTTCTCATACAGTCTGATGCCTTAGCAGAGTATTGGGCCGCAGTTCAACAACAGCAGCAACTACACAAGCAAAACTGGTTGCAATTTCAGACTGTAAAAATGCAGACTGGGAATCAGAGTGCTGAAGGAGCACTGCACTAAGGAGCTGCTGCTGCACAGGGAACACCAGGAGATGCCTTGGCCAGCAGCTGTGGGGCAGTGCAGTGTTTGGGGCAACACTGCTCCAAGAGAGCTGTGGCTACTGCTGTGGGGGCCTCTAAGACAAGGAGGAAGCTGTGGAGCAAACAGGCTTGTCTGTGGTTTCTGAGAGAGCAGTAGTTAAAGCTGCTGCTGTTGCTGCAGGGTGAAATGCAATCCATCCAGATTTTCTGTCTCCCCTGCTCTACACTGGGCCATGAGTTGACAAAATAAATTTCTGGCCTGTTTGGTCAGTTATCAGGGTTCAATACTCTCTGTCCTGATTCTTTTAGGAAGACCATGTGAGGAGGATTTATTGTTTGGAAGCAGATCTGCTTATGTGAAGACACTTGGCATTAGGTAATGTGATTTACAGACATGCCCCAGCTCTTACACCTTCCTTTCTGTATCCCTCACTTCATGGACACTGCCAGTAGATCCCGTCAGAGAGGTTTTATAGTATTGCCTGATGAGCTTCTGAAAAGTATTTAGATTTTGTAAGGCAGGCAAGTATAAATGCTATAAACTTGTATCTTGTCTGCTTTGTGAACTTGTGACCCTGTGGCAAATTAGGGGCTGCCAAAGACTTGAGTAATAGACAGGATCCCATTCTTGGTCATCAAGGAGAACATCATAGAGGAGAAGAGTATCACCAACTTTGAAATGTTAAATATAAAATTACACTACAGCTTGTAAAAAAAATATTCAAATGATAACTAACACCCTGGCTTTAAAATCAGTGACTGTGTGCACCAGCTGTGGGACTGACATTCTCTGCAGTTACCTAAGGTGTCATTCAATTTAAATAAAAGGAAAAATCATCCCATGCAGCTGTTCATAAAGGTGATGTGAGAAGGGTTTAACCCATCTGGTTACTGGAAGAGTTCAAGGCCAGTTTGGATGGGACTTGGAGCAACCTGGTCTAGTGAAAAGTGTCCCTCTCCGTGGCAGGGGGGCTGGAGATAGATTTTGAAATCCCTGTACATCCAAATCGCTGTGGAATTGTGACTGTGGTTACCCTTCCTGACTAGAGCCTTACTGAAGCTGAGCCACTAACATCTGCTGATCTCCTCTCCTACCCTAAACCATCTCCTTGTAGGAGGCTATTGGGTTACTTGAGCATAATTTTCTCTTTATAAATCACAGAATATTCTTAGCTGGAAAGGACCCACAAGGATCCACCTGAATGGTCCATACAGAGGTTGAACCCACAACCTTGGCATTATTAGCACCATGCTCTCACCAGCTGAGCTAAAATCTTTGCTAATTACTCCCAATCACCTTTGTGCCTTCTGGTGTTTGGAAATGCTTTTCAGGAAGGTTTGCCCTGTCACCTTTCTAGGGACAGAGGTGAGGCTGACTGGCCTGTACTGACTGACCTGTAGTTCCCTGAATCTTCCTTTGTGCTCTTCCGGAAGATAGGAGTGACATTTGCTTTCTTCCAGGTGTCAAGAGCCTCCCTTCATCACCAGGTCCTCTCAAAGAAAATCACGAGTGGCCTCACAGTGGTGTTACCCAGCTCCCTCACTACCCAAGGGTGCATCCTTTCGGGTCTCTGCTACAAGTGGTCCCTATGTCAGTCTGCTGCACTGAAGGTATATATTCCTTGCTCTTGAGCTTCCCTTTGGTCTCAGAGGCCTGCAGTCCCTGGAGGCTGCTGTTCCACATCCTTCAGCCGTGGGGTGCTTGCCCCATTTGGTCGTGGGTCATGTTTTCCTTAGTTTTCCTGTTGCTACAGACACATCTGCAGAAGCCTCTCTTACTGCACTTCACCTCTCTTGCCATATTTGACTCCACGTGGGCTTGGGTTTTTCCTACCCCTTTTCTTCTTCCTTGGATAACACTTCTATATTCCCCCTGAATTACCTGTCCCTTCTCTCATCTCACAGCACCTCTCAGTGGCCTGAGTTATTTCTGGATAATTATGTCATTAAATTGACTCATAAACCAAATGTTCTTCCTTCTTCTGCATCAGTTATGGCCCTTAAGGTTCTGTAAAACAGGATCAGAAAGTAATGGTTTATAGCCTGAATCTGTTCTTGGAGGAGCAACAGGGCTGGGATTTAACCTGGAGGACTGAGTAACTTTTAAAGTGAATAGTGGGCTCATATGTGCACTTTTAACCTAGGGGATGTTTTGGGATTGTGACTTGGATTAGATCATGTGATGTTACCGAATGGTCACATGTTTGTCAGGTTATGTGCATCATGGTAGCTTAAACTGCAAGGTAACAATCTGTTATTTTGTTTTTTTAAATAGCTCAAACACGATGTGTTTAGCAGGCACTGGACAATGTCTGGGACTTGCAAGCAACGCTACACCACAGATAACTAATGTTCCTGAGATCAGCATTGTGTCAGACAGAAACTCCCACAAGATGGAGCTGCACCATACCAGTATACCAGTTCATTCTGCCTTCCTCTGGGCAGGCGGTCCTTGTCTCTGTGTGTGTGTGTGTCTGTGTCTGTGTGTCTGTGTGTGTGTCTGTGTGTCTGTCTGTGTCTGTGCGAGTGATCCTCTCCACAGACAACTCCCCACCCTATTTGTGGTATCTGATGCACGCATCCAGCACATTCTGCATCGACTGCCCGCCCAGTGTGGCACTGCTCCCGTTTGCTGTTGGCATCTGCAGTCCAGAGGATTTGTGGGATGTCGTTGCATCCCAGGGCACAACAGTTGTGGATGATAAACATGGTTTGTCACAGGGAAAAAGAAGGTCAAGCCATTTGCATTTTTTTCCCTGGAGAAATCATCAGATCTTACTTCAGACCTGCCACTGCATGGCAGACCAGAGCTTGATCCAAAGCTTAAGCATAGACAAATTTGGTGCAAGTGGGCAATTCCTGGACAGTACCCTCATGGCTGCAGAATTCTCTGAGTCCCTGATGCTGGGCAGGAGAGTCCAATGGAGTCAGCAGCATGTGGGTGAGATTTGACTCTACTGATCTCAGAGCCTTTCCTTCCTGAACAAACATTTTCCATTCTGAAATAATCACCTCACTATATATAGAAAACTCCTCCAAAGCAAAAGCCATGTTCTTTAGGAAGGGATAATTCACAAATTGTTTTGTTCCTTTCACCGGAATGAGTGGGTCCTTTGCCCTGGGGCTTGTACCTGTGTGTGCACACCAAAGGCATGTGTCACCTCATGCAGAAATACCCTGCATTTCCCCTGCCCCTGCCCCCAGCCCGCGGATTCCGAGGCTGTGTCTGTAATCACAATCCACGGCATTTCGGAAACCACCCCCCCATCTTGCTTCCTCCCAGCTGATTTTCAGGGGAACAGAAGGAGACTTGTTTGCTACCAGGGAGGAAGTCCAGGCCTTAGCAAGCAGCTTTCTAAGAGGCACCGGTGAGAGCGGTGCGCTTCAGCCAGCGCTCCCTGGCAGAACTGCTGCCAAATGAGGTCACCCTGCTGCAGACGTGGATGGAGAGATCTCGGAGGAGGAGAGTGCAAGGAGCCAGTACAGGAAGTGGAGCAGTCACTAGCACAGGGCTCGGCTCAGTCCGCTCACCCTCTGGAAATGTTGATTTCAGTTTTGTCTTGGCCCACAGATGGACATGTATTAGACGGCTTCCTTCTCATCATAATCTCATTCCTTTCCTCGTACACCGACTCCTTGGTGTGACACAGTTCAGCCATTGCTCTGGGAAGGGTTCCACGGGGCAGGCAGCATGCAGGTTCAGGTCAGACACCATGACTGGATGGCACTGTCCGCGTCCTTTGGGAATCACAAAGCTCACAGAAGCCCTGGGACAGACTCCACCTCCTGAGAAAGGCCACAGACTTGTAGAATTGGAGAATACCAGGTTGGAACTGATCTCAGGGGTCGTGTGGTACAAGTTTTCTGGGCAAAAGCATGGTCCATATGAGCTGGCCCAGTACCCTTATTAGCCAAGATGTACAGCTTTGACTGCTAGGAATCTGTTATGTCTTTTTCATGATTATTCTAGTGATTAATTCCTCCTTCCACTGAACTACTGCTCTGTCCATTTGCATAACTTCAGTTCCGCAGTATATCTCCTGTTACACCTTTATTTGCTAGATTGAAACATTATTATTATTGAAACAATTAAAAATTTTCATTTTTAGAGATCCTTAGAAATCATTACTTCTTTTAATCTTACTAAAGGTCTTCACATGGAACCTTGTTCCTTGGATCTTGACTCATTCTTATGACTCTTCTCTGGCCATTTTGAGTTTTCTGCAGTTGTTATAAATATTGAACATTAAGTTTGCATCACTGAAGCTGCAGTAACAGAATTTCCCTGTTGTTCTGTATCCTTCTGTTTAGTCAGTTTATATTTCCTTGAAGATCATTAGTCAAGATACTAAAAACATTGTCAGAAATTTAAAAATTAATGTTAGTAGTATTATTATTCCTTGGTAGGAAGTTTATGTGCTTAATAGGAACAGTATACTGTACAGATAGAACCCATCTGTACGGTTTGGTTTATAGGGACCTGTAGGTTGGATATTAATCAGCTGAGGGCATATTGTAAAAAAAAAAAATAACATCATATGAGATGGTATAAACAGGAATATGACTTGCAGGATGCATGAACTAACATTTCTGGCTCTGCTTTGCTGTGATCAGGCCTACAGCCAGACTGTGTGCCAGTGCATCCCAGAGAAT